GCTTTCCTTCCCGCCCCTGCAGGCCCCTGCAGCCCTCCGCGGGGGCCGCCGCCGCGGCCGCCGCCTCCTCCGGGCCCGCGCGTCCGCCCTCTCCGGCGCGGCCCGCTGGCGGCGCCCCGCCGCCCGGGCTGCGCGACCCCGTGCCGTGCCGGCCCCCTGCGGCCGCGGGCGGCGGGCTGCGGCGGCCCGAGGCCGCCGCCAGCGGCTGCCACATCGCGGCGGCGCGCCGAGGGTCTGAAGGATGATTCTTGACGCTTCGCCTATCCCTACCAGCTCGCTGTTTAATCAGGCTCGCGCGTAGCCCGCTCGACCTTTTCGGACGCCCCATGCGCTTTCGCTGGCGGCCGCGACAAAAAACATGTCCCCACCAGCAGGCTCTTGCGCGGCCCGCTCGGACCTTCCCCGCCGCTGGCGCTCTCGCCTGCGGTTGCGACGCAAAAAGTATCCCCACCGGCTTCGCTCACGCGCGGCCCGCCCTAGCGTGCTCGGCGTTCGACTTAGCTTCGCGCGCCCGCGTACCAAAAAGTATCCCCACCAGCCCATCCAGGAACGATCGCCAGACCTCCTGCGCGACGCGTCGCTGGTCGCCGCTTTCTCCCGGCGTGGAACTGGCTGCCTGCTGCCTTCGTGTGCCACTGCCCGTCCCTCCCAGGCCGAAAGGGGGGGGTATGGGGGAGAGGTGAACCCCTGCTCCGAGCAGGGCTGGTGGGGTTCTCGGGTGGGGTGCCCAGAGGGGGCGGCAGGCTCGAAGCTCGGAGTTCGGAGTTCGGAGTTGGAGGTTATGGGACGTTCTCGTCGGTTTTCTGTGGCTTTCCAGCCTTGGGTTGCCTTCCAGCGGCTGCGCCTCGCCTCTGGCATTTTGGGGGTGCTGCCTGGATCGCCCCGAACATCGGTAGAATGGGGTTGGGAGAGATAACAGATCATCCGTATCATCGCGCATGTCGAGTGTGCTAATGACATAGTCGTGCCCCGTATCTGCCCAGCCCCATCCTCCCAACCCGATCATTGTTTTTTTTTGGGAGGGGGGCATGCCTTCCCGAAATCGCAGAAGACAAAACAGCATCAACATAAACTTTCGGAAGCTCCGCGCGGACTTCCGCTCCGCGCGCCAGGGAGGGGCTCCAGCGCCGACCCGGGACATCCGCGCGGAGCTCCCAGAGTCTCTGTGTTGTGCAGTCATCTGCTCTTCTGTTCTTGGAAGGCGGCGGGGCTTCTCGGAAGCCCTCCGGCCTTCTCAGAAGCCTTCTGTGGTCCGAGAGAAGGCTCGGTGATCACGCCGGGGGCCTCCTGAGCCTCATGAGAAGGCCCGCCTCTTCTGCCTTCGCCCTGGGCACGCCGCGGCCATCCCGAGGGACGGAGCAGGACGACCACGACCAAGATGCCGCGGGATCCTGTCGGCGCCGATCTTGGCCGTGGTCCGTGCCCGCCGTCGCCGATTCGCGAGGATGCTCCCGAGCCGACGGTCACCAAGATGGACGGGGACCAAGATTGTCACCGACGCTTCTGCGTTCAGTCTTGGTCCTGGCCCTCTTTTTCTGCCCCTCCATCGTCGCCGACGACTGCTGCATTGACGACGACATCGCCCTCGCGCTCGCCCTGTCCCTCAGCGCGCAGGCCTAGGCCTCCCAGATGGGGGCCCGAGCAGACGGGGTCGGCGGAACGTGCCGCATCGCCGCTGCACCGGCAACGCGGCTCGATGTGGAGCCCGACCTCCTCCGCGCCGAGGCGTCGCCGAGGCATCGCCGTGGCAGCGCCCTTGCCTCGCCGAGGCATCGCCGATGCAGCGGCGCTGCCTCGGCGATGCGGCGCAGTCCTCCGACCCCACTGGCTCGGACCCCACCGGGGAGGCCCCCCCGCAGGAGAGCCCGCGGCGGCCGCCCTCGCCCGCGCGGCAGGCCGCAACCCTCGCCCGCGCGGGCGAGGCCGCGGCGCCCGCGGCGCGGGAGGTCAGGGGAGGGGGCCCGGCTGCACACCGGCACCGCGCCTGGCCGGGCCGACCCTGGGCCCAGGGTTGGTGCATTGCCCTGGTCAATGCCTCTTCTTCTTCCTCCTCCTCCTCCTCCTCCTTTGTTGGCTGGGCGGGCTCCAGGTCCTCCTCATCCTCCTCCTCCTCCTCCTCCTCCTCCTCGTGTTTTTTTTGGCTGGGCGGGCTCCAGGTGCAGCGCCTGTAGCGTAGCTTACCTCCTCCTTCTCCTCCTCGTCCTCCTCCTCCTCGTCGTCCTCCTCCTCCTGGTCCTCCTCCTCCTCCTCCTCCTCCTCCTCCTCCTCGTCCTCCTGCTCCCTTCCTCCTCCTCCTCCTCCTCCTCCTCCTCGTCCTCCTCCTCCTCCTCCTCCTCGTGCTTGTCGTCCTCCTCCTCCTCCTCCTCGTCCCCTCCTCCTCCCTTTCCTTCTCCTCGTCGTCCTTCTCCTCCTCCTTCTCGTCCTTCTCCTCCTCTTCCTCCTCGTCGTCGTCTCCTCCTCCTTGTCGTCGTCGTCATCGTCCTCCGCCTCCTCCTCCTCCTCGTCCCCTCCTCCTCCTCTCCTCCTCCTCCTCCTCCTCCTCCTCCTACTCGTCTTCGTCGTCGTCGTCCTCCTCCTCCTCGTCCTCCTCCTCCTCCTCCTCCTTCTCCTCCTCCCCTCCTCCTCTCTCCTCCTCCTCCTCCTTCCTCCTCCTCCTCCTCCTCCTCCTCCTCTCCTCCTCCTCCTCCTCCCTCCTCCTCGTCCTCCTCCTCCTCATCCTCCTCCTCCTCCTCCTCCTCCTCCTCCTTGTCGTACTCCTCCTCCTCCTCCTCCTCCTCCCTTTCCTCCTCCTCGTCCTCCTCCTCCTCCTCCTCCTCCTCCTTCTCCTTTGCCCCCGTACGCCTTCCTGGCCAGGCCCCGTGCGCTGATCCCCGGCATGGCCGGAGGGCGCCGCTCCTGCGCACCTGCAGCAGCCCTGGCCGGGTCCCTACTCACAGGACGGCGGTCGACGGCGTCGCTGCCGTCGCCGGCGGCGGCGGCGGCGCCGCCGCCAGCGTCGGCGCCAGCGGCGGCGGCGCCGCTGGCGTCGGCGCCGCTGGCATTCGCGCCTTCGGCGCCGCCGGCGTCGGCGCCGCTGGCGTTAGCGCCTTCGGCGCCACCGCCGTCGGCGTCGTCCGTCGTCATTTGAGCAGGGGCCGGTCCTCGGTCCAGGACTGGTGAATCCGAAGGGCAAACAAGCGGCATGTTTGCCAGCGTGGACCCCCCACAGTGCGTTTCTAGCAATTTATGTGGTGCAATCTGTGTGGGGCAACCTGCTGTGTAATCTATGTTCTGCAATCTGTGTTGTGCAACATCTGTTGTGCAATCTATGTCGAGGAATCTGGCGCAATCTATGTGGTGCAATACATGTGGTGCGCAATCTATGTTGTGCAATCTATGTGAAGCAATCTATCTGGTGCAATCTATGTTGCGGCGACTGAGCGGCGACGGCGACAACAAAGCCGCCAGACCGACCCCCAGGCTCAGACGATGGGCGGCGACGAGGCGGCGACGGGGCGGCGACGGCGACGACGTAGCCGCCAGACTGACCCCCAGGCTCAGACGACGGGCGGCGACGAGGCGGCGACGGGGCGGCGACGGCGACGACGTACCCGCCAGACCGACCCCCAGGCCCAGACGACGGGCGGCGACGGAGGCGGCGACGGGGCGGCGACGGCGACGACGTAGCCGCCAGACCGACCCCCAGGCCCAGACGACGGGCGGCGACGGAGGCGGCGACGGGGCGGCGACGGCGACGACATAGCCGCCAGACCGATCCCCAAGCCCAGACGACGGGCGGCGACGAGGCGGCGACGGCGACGACGTAGCCGCCAGACCGACCCCCAGGCCCAGACGACGGGCGGCGACGGAGGCGGCGACGGGGCGGCGACGGCGACGACGTAGCCGCCAGACCGACCCCCAGGCCCAGACGACGGGCGGCGACGGAGGCGGCGACGGGGCGGCGACGGCGACGACGTAGCCGCCAGACCGACCACTGCAAGCACTGCTTGGGGAATCGGCACGCTCTCGGAGGTCGGCGCTGGGGGCCCCCTGGCGGCGCCTCTGCCGCGCTCCGCGCGCCAGGAAGGGGGGGTACCAGCGCCGATGCAGGAAGCCCTCGCGGACCTCCAGGCAGCTACGTCTGCGCCGTCTTTTTCGTTCCTCTGTGCACAGGCCTTCCTTGCCACTTGCCAGGCCAGGAGGGCGTAAGGCACCGATCCAGGGCGCATGCTGGGCCTGGCCGGGGTCGGTGTAGGATTAGGTCGGGCCCGTCCTTCTACAGGAGGAATATGCAAACATAGTCAAGGAAAAGTCTGGGGACAATGGTTCGACCATTTTTGATCATTTTGGAGTATTGTTTGGCTATCCTTTCTTTTCGTTCAAAATCCGCCTGGAGGTGGACATGCCCGACCCAAGTGTCGGTGTGCGGTGTTTGCGCCCCCTCGGAAGGGTCCCGGCGGGGACGCCCGGGCGCCGAGGCAGAAGCTGTACAAAGTGAAGGCTTGCGCAGCGCTCTCCTCGGGGGAAAACGCTTGGGGGGTGATGGGCTCCAGGGGGGGCGGAGGGGGATGCGCCGACCCGCGGCCTGGGGCGCCTTCTGCCCCGTCGGCCCTCCCACGGATCGCCGGTGTGGGGGCCGATGGCCCACCCCGTCCGGGAGCGTGGGCTTCTGCTCGGCGTCGCCCCGTCGCCGCTCGGCCGGCGAGGTACCGCCGATCCCTGCCGCTCCTCCCGGACGTTGACCCCCCCCCCACAAGGTGTGCAGCGACTTCCAGCAGGGGAGGTGCCGCCGCGGCGAGGACTGCACGTTTGCGCACGGCGAGGCGGCGAGGGAGTTCCCCAGACGTGCGACGCCTTGTTTTTTTCTCAATACGGGGTCCCCGGAAGTCCCGACCCTTCCTTTCCCCGGGACCGGCTTTTTATCCTGAGTCGTTTTGTGACGGTCCCGAGGCCCGGCGAGGGCTCCCCGAGGCGGAAAACGGGCACAATCCTCCCGTCCCGATTGTCCTCACGACGCGATCATGTCTGGGACGTTCGCGCTCGGCGAGGCGGAGAGGGAGTTCTGGAACGCGACGAGGCGCTTCGACAGGCCTGGGCTGCCGTCGCCACCCGCGGCTGCGTTGGGGCCCTCGGGGGCCGCGGCGAGCGGGAAGTGGCCTCGCGCCGACAGCCCGGGCTTCTTGACCATGTGCCCGCTGGACATCGGCTTCTGCCAGGACTCGATCAGCCCGGCGTTCCGCAACGGGAGCTCCATCCTGGCCACGCTCAGGCAGCTGGCCGACTGCAGCATGGACATCAGAGAGATGCCGCCGATGCAGGTCGTGCTGCACGACGAGAAGTTCTTCTCCGTTAGCAACCGGAGGCTCTGCCTGTACCGCCTGTGCCAGCTGCTGGGACTGCTGCGCGCGGTGAAGGTGCAGCTGCTCCAGGGGCCCCCGCCGCACTTCGAGCAGAAGCTCACGACACCCTGCGAGGGAGCATGGGTGCACGTGGGTCGGGGCAGGCTGGGGGTCTGAGGTGGCCCAGCACTGGCACCGGCCAGCAGGAACGGGGGGTTCGAGGCTGGGGGTTCGAGGAGTTTTTTGTTGTCGTTTTCGGTCTCTGGGGGGGCTGTTGTCGGGTCAGGGGACAGTCAAAAACGGATTTGGGGTGAAAAGCCATTGCACCAGGTGGGCCCTGGGAGGGGTCTGGGGGCCGATTTTGAGCGAATCTGCCCTTGCCCACCCCCTTCTTGACCGGTTTTCTCGGGGCTCTTCCAGTTCAAACCCGTCGGCCGCCTTCAACCAGTGGGGGACAAGCATATCCGTATACGCGGCCTCGCGGGCCGGGCCCTCGGGCCGCGACCCCGCGGGCACTGGGCGTTTCCTTCGCGGACGCCCCGCGCGGAACGCATCCGTGCGACCGCGTCTCCACGGGATCGCGCCCTGGAATCCGGCCCGCGAGGTCCGGCGAGAGCCCGCAGGGGTCCCCCCCCGCAGTGATTGCGCGTGTGCACTCGGGCCCCCCACGCGGCCCCCCAAAGCCGCGCACCAGCGGTCCACTCTTGCCCAGGGTCGCTCTTGCGTCTGGCCGGGATGCGCTGTCCGCCCACGAGGTGCGCGTGCGGGGCGACGGCCGCATCTGCGGCCGCACGCTGGAGGAGACGACCTTCGGGAGGGAGGAGCTGCTCTCGCCCGCGTCGCCGGGGTGACGAAAGGGCGGCGGCGCGGCTGTGCTCCCGAGCGAGAAGCAGAAAACAAGTACCATTCCTCCCGGAGCCCACTTGGCGCCCGCCTGTGGGCTTGCTTTTGTGGGGGGCTCTTTTTTGGGCCTCTTTTTTGGGGCCTCTCGGGGGGGTCTTGGGGCCCTCATGGGCCGTCCTACGTACGGGGTGCTTGGGGCCCTCTTTGGCCGTCTTGCGCACGGCCCTCTTGGCCGTCTTTGGAGGGCCTTTGGGAACCCTCTTGGGGCCCTCTCGAACCGTCCTGGTGCTCTCTTGGGCCGTCTTGGGGCCTCTTGGGTCCTCCTGGTCACTTCATCTTTCATCGCTCCTGGTTTTCCGTTTCATTTCGCTGCACTAACTTTGCCTAGTGGTTGCGCAGACGTCTGAAAACGTTACCTGGATTCGACCTGCGCAGGGGAACAACAAGTCCATATCTTGTCACTTTGGCAGACTAAGCGACCAGAGGTGGTGCGAAGAGGGGGCGGAAAAGTAGAGAAGCCCTCACGGGCATCGAGTGTAGGACCTCCTCCTGCTCCTCCTCCTCCTCCTCCTCCTTCCTCCTCCTTTTCCTCCCTCCTCCTTTTCCTCCCTCCTCCTCCTCCTCCTCCTCCTCGTTCGCCCCTCCCTCCTCCTCCTCCTCCTCCTGCTCCTCCCGGTTCCTCCCTTCTCGCCCCCGCCGCGCGCGGGCAGGAGCTCCACTGGACGCTCGACGCCCTGCTCGAGCTGGGCATAGGCTGCGACTCCGAGATCCGCGTGCTCTTCGGGTCCCTGGACGCCCCGCGCTCACCATATATATATATATATATATATATATATATATACATTTCTTCTCCTCTCCCCCCCCACATGCTGTCGGGCCAGCTCCGGCCCGTGGCGTCAGCGAGCGCGGCCGGCCTCGTGCAGCACGGCCGCGCAGCACGGCAGAGCGGCTCCGGGAAAGCGACGTACCCAGACCCCCGACGTCCTGACTTTTCCCTAGCGTCGACCCCCTGAGGTCCCGACCCATTCCCCGGGGCCAGCTTTTCATCCTGAGTCTTTTTTGGACAGTCCCGGGGCCCGGCGAGGGCCCCCAGTGGCCGAAAATGGCGAAAAACCCTCCGTCGCGATTTTTTTCCCCAGCTCGATGGGGTCTGGGTACGGCCGTCGGGCCCGAGGGCCCAAGTGCCCCAGCCGGACCACCAGCCAGCCCAGTCAGCCCAGCCGGCCCAGACCGCGAAGCAGCCCACCCGCGAGCCCGTCTGCCCCCGCCGCCTGCCCTCTCCGTCACCACCGGGGGAGGCCGCAGCACCGCTCACCGCTCAGCGCTCAGCTCGCCTCTGCGACGGCCCCGGCGGCCCCTCGGCGGCCCCTCTGCGGCGGCCTCTCTGCGGCGGCCTCTTGGCGGCGGCCTCTCGGCGGCCTTCGCTATTCGGCGGCCTCTCTGCGGTGGCCTTCCCTGCCGCCTTCTCGGCGGCCTTCGACGGCCTTCGGCGGTCTTCGGCGGCCTGTCGGCGGCCTCGGGTGGGCAAGACCGCTGGGTGGGCGCTTTCCTTTTTATGCCATTTCAGCTTTGGCCTTGGCCTCAGCTGTGGCTTCGCTGCGAAGCGCCTTCGGGCCAGCTCACCCCGGTCGGTTTTCCGCTAGCGGTGCCTCCCTCCCTCCCCCTCGCCACCGAGGGGGAAGGTGTTTCTGACAGGCGGAGACGGTGGTGAGCCTTCTAATGTTCCAACCTACTTTAGCCTGAATCAGTAGAGCTTCGAGCACCGAGAACGTACCGAAACTGGAGGGTTTTCACGTGTGGGGCTCTGGGATGCGATACTCGTTCGATACTGCTTCGATACTTTTCTGGGTGCTCGACGTTATTTCTAGGACTTGGTCCTGAAGTACGATGGGGGCAACATAAGGAAGGTGAGCCACCCTGCAGGGCCCGGCGGGACGGCCAGGGGGTGCCGAATCGCACAGCAGCACGGGGAGGACCGCCTCCCGGGGCGGACGCCGTCGGGACGGTCGGGGCCCCCCACCGCGGCACTGCCATCACTTCAGGGGCAACGTTAGGCGGGATAGGCTCAGGGGGGGATCTTCTTCCTCCTCCTCCTCCTCCTCTTCCTCCTCCTCCTCCATTCCTTTTCTTCAAACATAACTTCTCCCTGTCGCACCCCGGGGCCAGTTTTTAGAGCGGTCCGGGCGTTTCGCCTGAGACTTCCCACCATTTATGGCTCTGAAGCTTAAACATTGGCAACAGTTTCACAGATGAAGGGCGGGTGGTTTTCAACATGTGGCTCTCGCCTTCGCGCGACGCACATTCGTTTTAACAACTTGCAAGAGCCTCACGGAATGAGGGCGGGTCGTTTTCAACATGTGGGTCGCGCCTTAGTGCGGCGCACATTCGATTCAAACAGTTGCAAGAGTTTCACATATTGAGGGCGGGTCGTTTTCAACATGTGGCCCTCGCCTTAGCGCGGCGCACATATCAATTGCAAAGTTTCACGGATCGAGGGCGGTTCTTTTTCAACATGTGGCTCTCGCCTTAGCGCGGCGCACATTCGTTTGCAACAGTTGCAAGAGAGTCACAGTTTCTCATCACCAACCTATGAGAAGTGGTGTTTTCAAGGGTTCATGATTATGCGGGTGCAGCAGTTTCGTTGAAGTCCCAGGAATGGCTTTCTGGAGCGACTCAGGCTAGTCAAGACGCAACAGTCAGGTTCATCCGTGGCGCTGGAATGAAGAAAGCAATGCTTTGGCATGCTTCAGGGTCTTCAGACGGTTGTCTTCGAACGAGGCAGTCCCCTCAATGGAAATGAACCGTTGTAGGGGCCTATGAAGAGGGAGCTTGGAGGGAGGGTTTATTCCGACATCGTTGATGACTCTTGGGTTTACACTGGTCCTCCTCCTCCCCCTCCTCCTCTTCCTCCTCCTCCTCCTCCTCCTCCTCTCCCTCCTCTCCCTCCTCTCCCTCCTCCTTCTCCTCCTCCTCCTCCTCCTCCTCCTCCTCCTCCGCATCGGCCCCCAATGGCCCCCAATGGCCCAATGATCGCCGATAGGGGCCGATAGGCCACCTCGCCCAGGACTCCAGCCGCGCTCGCCCGCGGCCGCGGCCGCGCCCGCGGGCGCGTGGAGGCAGGGACCCACCACGCCACCCCACGTCCTGCTCACAGAGCCCCCGCCCCAGCTCGCTTGGAGGAGGAGGAGGAGGAGGAGGAGGAGGAGGAGGAGGAGGAGGAGGAGGTGGAGGAGGAGGAGGAGTTTTCCACAGCGCATCGGGGCCAGCCCCAGGAGGCGCTCGCACCATAGATTTTTGTATCGTGACGGAGGCCCTCGGCTCGACGTTGGAGCTGAGCTGGGATCCTCGATCCCCTTGTGCCTCGTCGCACACGGGTGTCTCGGGAGTGCTTCATTGTGACAAGTTTGTTCAGCTCCATACTGTATTAGTCAAGCCACCTGTCTACGTGCACGCAGCAGGGCCAGATCTTCCATGGGGGGTCCATCAAGCCAGGGTCCGTGCCTTAGTTGCCCGAGATGCAGGCTCCCGGGTGGGCACGCTTTTCGGCTCGTGCGCGGACCCTCGGTGAAAACGTACATGGCCTTTTGCTTCGCGTCGGAGTCCTGCCACGCCAATCGCGACTCCTCTGTGGCCTTTCTGGGCGCCACCATGCATCGGGGATGGATGGCCGCTGTCCAGGACGCGCCGCTGGTTGAGACCAAGCCGCAAGGGTGGCTGGCGGAAACCTCCAATCTCGTGGTCAGGTCCGCACTCCACTCCCGGCTCGTGGAATGGCTCCAGTCCGCCCCAATCGATTGGCAGAGGCGCTTTCCCGCGTCCGCCGGCTTCCCCGAGCTTTGAAGGGCGCGAAGAGCGCATGCTCGAAGACTGCAGCAGGCTGGGAGCGCAGGCCGCTGGGGATCGCCTGGCGGCCGCCCTCGAGATGCTCAGTGAGGTTCTCCGCTCCCGCGAGGCCTCCCTCTCCAGGCTCGCCCTCCAGGGGCTTCAAGGATTGGTCGAGGCAGTCCCTCGGCAAGGGCTGCGGGGCCTCGCATTTTTACACCGAGGCTCTGGGGGCCGGAGGCTCCCGAGCTCAGCTCTGAACGCCCCCCCCCCCGGAGGGCGATATCCTCGGTGACCCGCAAGCTGCCTTGGCCTCGAAGCGCGATTTCTGGGGGCACCACTGGCTCGCTGGCCACGCGCAGAGGGGGGCAGGGGGAGGGGGGAAGGCTTCTTAGAAGCACACCTGCTTCTTAGAAGGCGCGTGACTTCTCTGTACATGTAAGGCCGGAGCCTTCTAAGAAGCAGCCCCCTTCCAAGAAGCCTTCCCCCCTCCCCCTACCCCCCTCTGCGCGCCGCCAAGGTCTTGTGGGATGACTTCCGTGCCAGAGCCATGTTGGACTCCAGGGAGCGGGATCAGCTCACGGGAGGCCAGCTTCTAGATGCCTTGAAACGTTTCCGGCCCGTCGTAGGTCATGGGGCTGATTTTCAGAATTCCAGGGACGGGTCAAAGCTACCAGTGGAAGCCCATCAGCAACTTTTGGACCTGTTACGGGAGGTGGAGCGCACGCTGACCTGGCCCTCGCAGGTGCGCATGATCATCATCCAGCTGATTTTTAAGAACGTCGAGGCTGACAGACCGATTGCCCTCACGCAGGGTCTCTACCGCGTCTGGGGCCGAGCCCGATGTTGCGATGTAGCGAGGTGGACGTCGGAGCGGGCTCAGTTTTGGGATCGGGCTGTGAGGGACTCGTCTGCTTTAAGGGCGACCCTTCTGCGCCAGACCAGCTGCGAGGTGGCTTCCGCCATGGGCTTTAGCTGGATCCAGGTCCTCTGGGATCTAGATAAATTTTAAATCATGTTCGGCTCGACGCAGTGGTGGACATAGCCAGTCGAGTTGACTACCCGCTCATGCCACTTTTCCTTGCCCTGGACATGCACCGGGCCCCTTGGCGGCTCCGAGCCTCAGGAGCGGTTTCAGACATCATCATTCCTGACACGAGCTTGCTCGCAGGGTGGTCGCAGAGCG